TCACCATTCACTCACCTTCCTGTCTTTGCCTTTTTACCTTGACTGTTTGCTCGGTAAACATCCACGGCAGGGAAGGTTGGTAGGAAGGAGAGTGTGTATTGTGACTCGCTTCTCAAGAATCCCTTTCTTTGCGAGTCTTCATGGCGGGTTTTACAGAGAATCATTCATGGACCCGCCATGTCTTTACTTCCTATCAATCGTTGCTTTTGGAGTAAATTTCCCGGTGACTCTTCGGTGACTCCATGTACTGAGGAGGTAGGCGCACCTATGTCGGCCGCACAGTCCAGGTCCTACCCTCCCACCAACTAACATGGAAGTGCGCAAAGCCCCTTTCCAAGAGGAAAGTAGTCTCTCTATAAGGGTCTTTGCACCAAACCATGTTAGTCGGTGGGAGGGTACTTCCAAAATGCTTTCGAGAACAACAGGAATTGCGAACTCCCACTTTCGCACATCTCGCCCATCAGACCTCAGACTTAGGACACCTCCATTCTGCTGCAGTCTTCCATGAAGAAGACAGGCTCCGGCCAGTGCGAAGGGATGTGTTTCTCCTGAAACAGTCAACAGCTCAGTGGTTGCTCTGAATCTTTGCGTGTCTTTGTTTGTGGCTCAGTACTCTTCTGTGGTAATTTTGGGCTTTCAAGGTGGGGGACACTCACCCAGCCGCAATTCGTTTTATGTGAGGAGATACCCGAAATGTGTATCTCAAGATTGGACCCTGGGGTTGGTGTCGTGGGTGTCGCCCATTTGACATGCACACATTTTCCAGTGGTTTTCTTCCGGGGGAAAAAGGGAAACATGTCTTTCTTGGCGTCAAACTCTGGTCTTGGTTCATTTCCGGCTGTGAGAATTGTATGTTTTTCAACTTTGTTTTTGTTGCTCGGCATGCGCAAGATGGTCTCCAGGATCCCGGATTGAAGCCAATTCGCTTGCTTGCTTGGTGGTCGTTTGGTTTCCTTTTTGAAAGGGAGATACCCTCAAAGCAGACCTCAAAGCCAAATCCATGCCATGGTGAAACAAAGTGCCTTTCCAACATAAATGGATGACTGCCGAGGACTTTCATGGGGACCTTAGTTCAGGCTATCGAAGCATTTTTTGTGCGTGTCTTTTAAATTTGCTGAGGGTACCCATATTGTTTTGTTGTATTCGAGGAAACCGACAGGAAAACCAACGCCATTTATTCAGATCCAGACGTTTTTATGAAAATCGACGAAGCGCCCCTGGTGATGTGGCCAGCCATTTTGTGAGGACCCAAAGGGGTCGAGGACATGTACACACACACACACCCCGCCACCAGCAACTGGCGGAATTCTGCGCAGAGCAAATTCGCTGGGCTTCCAATGATCGGCTCATGTTGGCTCCTTGTGGTGTCTTTGGCTTTCATCTTGCAGGCAGGGTTTCCTCCGAACAACGCCACCATACTGGATGCAAACTTGCCGCATGAGCTCGTGTCGGATTCGGGGGTACTCAAACGTTTCATGTTTGTTTGTGAGAAGGAGGGGAAGGGGACTTGCAGATTATATCTATGTGCCTTGTTTGATTTGAGGGTACCCCCTTTATGGTTTTGCAATGAACGCTAAAGGGAGTTCGCACGCTTTGAGAGGAACTCATGTTCAGCCGGCACGTTCCATTTTTGACCGAAGCTGCATTGGCTTGGATTAAGGGCTGAAGCAGGCTTTTGGCCACACCCTTGCGAATTGTGGATGGTGCAGGCGAGACCCAGACGCAGCCAATCATTTCCTTGGCGGGGCTCAGCCGGGAATGTGGGAATGAACCCAGGGGTCCCCTTCAAGGAAACCACAAGGGGTGGTTTGTTTCGGGGTCATTCCATGTCTCATTCCCTGCCTCTCTCGCACCAGCAAGTTTTCCGGGGGCATAACGTAGCTTCTCTTAGTTTGCTAAGCCCCGGTCCCGGGGTCAAAAGTGGAGTTGCGGCCGGGGTGCTATGTCCTTCTTTCAGGGACGCCCAGCTTGGTGGACAATTTTTGGACGGGCAGCCGCAAGGAAAAAACCTGCCACCACTCCATTTCCAGCCTCCAACCTCAACAAAAGGCAGTTTTCTAGACGCCGCCCCCCCAACAAAAAAATGAAAGAGAGACGTTCTACCATGCGTGCGTGTCTACCACGCGCGCGTGTCTACCACGCGTGGTCGCCAGGCGTGGAAGCAAGGATCGAGGAGTTCGAGAGCGACGAGTTCTCCATGTAACAATACAAAGGCGCGCGCAGTTCGGCGCTGGGGTTCTGGGGTCATCCCCGAGTTTTGGGGGTCATCCGGTTTTTTGGGGTTGGTTTTGGGTGGGTTTCATGGCGATCTCATAGAGTTTTGATCCGTTGTTTGATCCAGAGATGGTTAGGGGCTCCGAACCAGCTATCAAAGTTCCAGACAGTTGTTTTTTGAGTGGTTTTCAGTTGGTTTGGTGGTCGGGTTTCCGAATCTCACCCACAAACAGTTAAACTTTTAGCAGATCTGCATTCGGACAGCCTAGACGGACCCCCCCCCAAAAAACAACAACAACAAAAGCGCCTCACCCCCCTCCCCAACAAAATAAAAGATAAACAATTAAATAAATAAATAAATAAATAAATAAATAAGTCGATAAAAAAAGAATAAATATGTAAACACATAAATAAATGAATAAATGAATAAATAAATATACAAGCAAATAAACGAATACACAAATAAATAAATTAAATCAATACATACATACACAAATACACAAATAAATAAATAAAAATAAATAAATAAACAAATAAATAAAACTACATAAATAACCATAAATAAATAACATACCATAACATAACTAAAATAAATAAACATAACGTAAGGCGCCTCTTTCTTTCAACTCTGTCCGAGGCGAGGGGCAAGCCAGATCCCGAAGAGTAAAGGCTTCGCGGATCTGCTCCCGCCGGGCGCTCGCTCGGGGAGCACGCCATCGCGGGCGAGTCTGGGAATGCTCTTTGTGTTTTTACGTTTGCTTTTCGACTCTTTGGATCAGGGAATCCTCTTTGTGTTTTCCTTTTTTCTCGTTTGTTTTTTCGTCTTTTGCGACTCTTTGGATCAGGGTTGTGGGATCTTGGTGGCTCCCAGCCATCCGGTTCCTTAGCCTCTTAGCTTTTTAGTGTTTAGTGTTTAGTGTTTAGTGATAGTTTCCATTTGACCCCCTAAATTAGGCAACTTTTAGCGGGGGATCCGAGGGCAGCCCAGGGACTGGGGGTTTCTCCAGCCGCTTCTGTGATACTTTTGGGAATTTTCTCGTTTGGCTGGTAAGTCTTCGGGCCCTTTTTTGTCGCATCACAGAAGTGGATTCCATTTCAGGCACAGCCCTGCTTTGGACGGTTCGGGTGAACTCGCCCAACTTTCGGCTTTGACTCTGATTCGCTGGGCCCTTTTTCAGTCCCAAGTTGGTTCATGTGGCAGCCTGCCCGAGATGGAAGCTGGCGCCCGATGTCACATACCTCCGGCTTTAGATGGGATCCCAGACCTGCCATGGTGCTAGCCATCCTGTTTGGGGTATCTTTCATACTGCGGATGGACGAAATCCAAAATCCACTTTGAAACCTATAGGAAGCCATTGTTGGTTGGTATTTACAAGGGAATCATGATTCCCGGGTTTCTCTGGTGGTGCTTTTTTCGTCCATCCACAGTACGGGTGTTCAAAGAGACAAGGAGACTGAGAGCAGAGTCCGGGTTGACGAGTTGTGGCGCACTGAGGAAGCGCGACACACACGGTGCTCGGACGTTATTGCAAAAAGCAGTTTGCTCGGCAGCTGTGCTCATCGTGCTTCTCAAACGCGGCCAAAACATTCATTGGGGTCAGGATAGATGAGCCCCGAAAATGTGTCATTCCTTTTGGTATGCCTTGAACACCGTAAAAAGGGGTTTCCCCCTAAAGAACACACATTCCCGCAAACGTACCCCAAATTCGCGCCTCGGAAGTTCCCTTTTGGTTGACTTGTGCTGCTCTTCACCTGTGCCCCTCCGGAACAGGATATGAGTTTGCCATTGCGGAGTGTGATTGTTGTTGTTTGAGCCAGTGGAAGAGAAATGAAAGGACAGCCATCCATTTCAATATGGAGGCTGATACTCTCCATATGCATATATATATATATATATATATACATAGGATGCTCATAAGATCTCCTACTCGTGGTGCTGACCGGAGAACCCTCGGTTCGGCTCCGGTTTTCGTTGTCCCAAGATGGACTCCGAGCCTTGAGCCCCACAACGCACGGCAGACAAGTTGGTTTGGTTTTGGCTTCCTGAATCACCCGGGCCCGCTGAGCACCCTGGCACACTGAGCAACGAAGAGGGGAATCCGATTCTTCGGGGATGCTGCACTTTCCGGTTTTCCCAGTTTGCGGGAACTGTATTGGGTGTGAAACTGTGGATGACTTCTTTCCAGTAGACGAACACACTTATCTCATCTCCATAATTTGTTCAGTTCGATTGATAGTAGATTCGGTGTGTGGGTCTGGCTTTTTTGAAGGGTCCCCCTTTTTGGAGGGTTTAAACGGCAACCAAAGGACAACCCCCATTTTTTTTGGGGGGGTCCAACCTTCAAGAAGACGAGCCGCCCATGTTCTGTTCTGAATATCAGATCAAGGTGTGCCGATCGTTTTTTGTCTCTTTTCGGATGGAGTCCTCTTGAAGTGCTGCCCGTTCACAGCGGAGGCTGACACAAAGCTCCAGGGATTCGCCAGACTTTATTTTCGAACTCTCCATCTACAGGAACGGTGGTGGGCTTGGACATAACGGCAGCGCCTCTTCAACTCTCTTTGAGTTTGGGGACCAAAGTTTTAGAATGGACAGCGTAGGACGGACCCAACGGTTCTTTTTTGGGACCGCATTTCCGCCTTTTCCAAAACCCCAATTGTGTTTTGTGCCTTCTTCTTTTTTGTTTTTTTCCTTGGGGGGGAGGCCACTGGGAGTTTGAATGCAGGTTTGGACGGCAGCAAATAGGGGTGATAGGACGAAGGCCCTGAGCCCACCGCCGCCGTTTCTTTCGGCTGGAGAGAAGACAGCCTTCGCCGCTTGCTGTCCCCGAGCGGAAGTTGCACCGGGCCACAAAGCGGCCCATCTTGGGGCCCGGCCCTTGGATGCGTGCGTGAAGGGAAAGAATCTCACTCTTCTCCAAAACCACGGCTACGAGGATGATAAGGACCTTGAGGTAGGATGTCTTCTTCTTAGAGCCAAGCAGCCTGTGGAATCGCGGATGCCATAGGGCTTCATGGATCAACTCTACTTAGGGATGGACGGATGAAGTATCTGGGACAAGCCATTGAATGTGCAGGTGTTTGTAGATCCACAGTAGGGTGGGAACCTGCGGAGAAGGAATGCGCTCGAGTGGCGCCGATGTACTTCTTTTCCTGGGGAAGAGTACACTCAAATCTGGGTCTCCTTGGATGGCTTTTAAGGGAAAGCCAAAGGAAAACGCAGGGGATACCCCATTGCTGGAAATACCCAGAATGAAGCTTACTACTGATGTCCACTGTCCGAACCGTCCATGAGGCATTTTTGGTCTTGCATGCTCGCTGGTTCAAGAGGCCTCACTCGCAGTCAGCGGCTTGTTTCACATGTTGTCGTTTTTGTTTGAGTCAGTCGCACGATAAGTCCGCATGGTTCAGTCGAACTTGTCCAAAGCGAGGTCCAGAGACAAGTTGCACTCCGTCTCATCAGCCCAGGATGATCCAATTCATTCTGCTCATCAGCCGGCAGGGCAAGACCAGGCCCAGACTGGGTGCAACTGGAAGTGGGAAGCGCTGTCTTTGAATTGGCGTGCCCTGCAGGCTGAAGAAGTGGTTTGTTCCATGCCCGGAGCGGGACCAGTTCCGGACCATCAAGGAGGCAGGTTCCCGGACTTGCCCTCTCGCCGGATGGATCCAAGCAGATCCCACGTTTGGTTCTCTTGCCCGGGACCTCAAAGCTCTTGCTGATTGAATGTGCGTCCTTTCTTGTCCAGACCGGCCAAAGAAAGCACAAACTTTTTGCACGCAAGCTTCAAGCGGTTTTCCTGTTTTGTTTCCTCTTGTTTGAGTCCGTGCTGGGCTGTTTCCCAGTGGTCAAGCCCGCGTCGCCTCGTATTTCTTTGCACAGACCCTGTGGGGACTGAACACTGTCACGCTGCATTTCCCTTTGGCTAAGCCATCACGTCTCCGAACATTGGGAATGCTCCCAAATTGGGAGGTCGTAACGTTAAAAGGAAGCCAACAGGAGACCCTAAGGGGTTTAGGGGTCCTTGATTTAACGGAATAGCCCCTTGCATAGGAAACATGCTCTGCAAGAGCAGGGCAATCCATAGAGACCAAGAGTTGGCTGTCAGCGGCGTCAGAGTTCTTTGTGCAGTCCTCTCAGACATGTTTTTTGTTGTTTCGCGTGGGGAAGTGAGTTTGCAGCTATGCCACATATAGCTGCGGCGGCAAAATGGGCTTTGGATGTACGTACTTCACGAAGCACAGCTCATGCTGCAGTGCTTCCGTCTCTCCGAGGTTGCAGCATGGGAATCGGAGCGGTTTCTGGGACTTGGGTTGTGCGAATTGGTTCTCGCCTCCTTATGGGCGTGCTAGTCTTTGCATTTTGCCAAGGGATGTTCGGACTTTCACTTTTTGCCAACTCATGGGTTTTCCGTATTAAACCACTAAACGTTAAAACCTTTTAGCAGGGGAGCAGAAAACAACCGAGTAGTGGTAGCCGGGAGGGCCAGCAAGCACAAGTGGTCATTTTCCGAAGCCCTGGACGGTCACGCATTTTCTGGGGGCGTGCGCGTCTCAGAGCGAAAGCTGAGGGGAAGAAAAAAAAAACCACCGGCCTCGATCCCCCGAAGCTGCTTGCGAGTTGTGCTCAGGGCCCCTGTGGTCAGGGAGTTTTGGTTGCTACTTGTGCTTCCGCCCTTTCCTTTCCACTTTGCTGCGTTTTCCCTTCTCTTCTTTTCTCTTCTTGTCCTCTTTTGCCCCTTCCCCCTGTTCCCTGGTTCTTCCCTTCCCCCTTTCCCCTTTCCCACTTCCCCACCCTAGCAAATGGCACCAGGAACAGCGTTCCCCCTATAAAGAGGGGCTATCCCCTATTCACCCCGATAGAAACGGTCTTCTGAAGGGCTTCTCCTGGGCTCATCCCAAAGTAGCTCCCCCTTCCCCCCCTCCCCCCTCCCCCCCGCCTCCCCTCTCCCCCCTCCCCCCTCCCCTCCCCCCTTCCCCTTCTCCGAAATTTCGGGTTTTGCCGCCTCGGCGGAGAAAAAATGAGACACCCGCCAGGTGTCCAGCCTCATTCTGAGCAGATCTCCCAAGGCCCAAAGCAGCGCATCGACGCTCGTCGCTCGACGCTCGGGACGCGCTCGAGACGCGGGGCTGCGTGGGGCTGTTTTTTTGCTTGGAGGTTGGGACCCCCGAAAAGGCGTTTCGGTGTTCTTGTTGGTGTGCCTTTAAAACCACGACAGCAGCGGTGTCAACTCACAAAAGAGCAGCCGCCCATATGGGGCTCTGGTTTCTGTTTGAGGCTCGAAGCCCTCTTTGGAGTTGGTTTGAGCGACAGCCAGGGGAACCCACCCTTTTTGGCTTACTGTGGGCGCAGAAAATTCATGTCGCACCGGTGGGTGGGTGGTTTCTTCCGCTATGGGGGTTCCGTACCAAGCTGATGCGATTTTTGGATTTTGTTTCGCCGCAGGTGCCCTTTTGGGGTCAGACTGCCAGACCTCATGGGCAGATAGCCTCCAGTGGTTCTTGCAGCTTGATTTCTTTGGCAAAGAGGCCGGGTGTGTGAAGGAAGCGCCTTGAGTTTATTCTTCCATGTCTTTTTTTTTGGGGGGGGGGCGCCAAAACAGAGAAGTGCAACTCGTTGGGGGGAAATGGTACGCCAGGTCTGCAACTTCTTGGAATGGCGAGACTACAAGCTGTGCTACAAGCGCTACGCCAGGCAATTCGCTCGCTGACCTCCGGTGGACGACCCCTCTCCCGTTGACAGTTGACGCGGGCGACGCCGAGGGCTTCCCAGTGAGAGATGCCCGGGAACCCCCCGATATCTTGCGATTCCCCTCGCAAGATGCTTCCGGAGGGCCCGGTTTTTCTGTGAAATGCTGGGTCTTCCTCATGCACTACTGGGCTTGTCTGGGTCCCCCAGTAGTGCCCTTCTCTCCCCTTTTTGGTTGGGAGGGTTCCCCTACTAAAACAGACTGCAGCAAAAAGGGTACTCTTATTCTATCCTCTCTACTGCAGGACCTAGTTGTGAGTCCGGAGGACCTCCGGAGCTTTGCCTGTGCTCCGATTCCGTGCGTGTTGCCCTCGAGCTGCCTGATACCCTTGAACCCCCCGCTGTCGTGTCCATCGGAAGGCTCCGATGTTGGTTGCGACGGGTTTGTTGCCAGGAGCCCATGCAGTTTTCCCAAGCTGGCGCTTTTCCATGCAGAGTGGAAGGCCGAACTCGTAATTCTGAGCCTGTAAATATGTCAAACATTGTTTTAGTGCTGTTTTGCTCAGTCGCTTAGCAACCTACCACATGTTTAACTAGATAACAATTGTACAGCACATGTCTAAATGGGATCGTGCGGGCGTCTGCTTTAGCAGAAGATGCGCACTCCGTGTTGGCCGGGGACAGCACCATTGATCAATTGAGCTGCTTCAGAAACATGACACGCCAGTGACGGCAGCAGAGAGGCCTAAGAAAAGCAATCGAGTCTCGAATCTTTGATCTCAAAATACACGAAGCAACGAGAATGCCAAAACTCAACACAGTTCATTCATGTACGTTACTTTGGCATGTTTGAATATGGCTGCAACAGGGAGACTGCACCATTTTTCCGGATCCCCATGACTGATATTTGGGTGTGATTTTTAGGCGAGGCCCCCACCATGTTGGATGGTTTTCTTTTTAGTTTCCGTTCAACAACAAAAAAGGGGTACCACCTCAGAAAAGACGAGCCGCCGCTTTTTTGTGGGGCATTTTCCTTTTTGTTTCCCGTCAACTCCCGATCACGTCGGATCCGCGCCAGCCTCTTCTTCATCGCTTGCGTGGAGGGGAATGACAACGAGCTTCTGGCGCTTGAGACGGCCGGGGGCTTTGCCCGGGCGAGGGCTTGCCGAAGAAGGGAACAGTTTTGCCTTGTGAGCCACGTCCTCAAAACCGGGTAGACGAAGGTTAGGGATACTCCCAACCAGAAATAGCTGTGGGTATAGCTGGGTTCTGGGTAGACCATTGATTTTGATACCTGGTTTTGATTATGACTCATGCGAAGGTGGGGCAAAAGTAGTTGGTAACCCCAAAATGGCTTGCGCGCCCTGGTAATTTGGAAAGGACAAATGAAGACCTGCGGGCCAATTTTTGTAGTGGCTTCTTCAATTTTGACCCATACCCATGTGAAGGTGGCAGTTCGTGCTTGCAGGGGTTGCCCCGTTTCCTGTTTGGAGGACCCCTTCAGATTTTAAAGAGGTTGCCGTCGCCGTTGACGCAATGTTGTAACCGGTCTTGGATTCGAAGGTTCATGTTTCAGGTGCTGCGCGAACGTCTGAACAAGAAGGAATAAATCAAACAAAATAGGTGCATGTGGATTGCCGCGTTTGCTGGATTGCTGTTTTTGCATGCTGACATGAGCCTTTCTGGGGAGAGTTAGCAAGGGAGATTGATGGACACAGTTCTCTCTTTAATTGCATATTGCTTGGATGCTAGGACTTTAACTTTTTGCCAACGAATTGGTTTTCCATTAAACCACTAAAAGTTAAGCTTTTGGCAGGGGAGCAGCAAGCAACCGAGCACTGGAATCTGCCCTTTTGGATTGATGGACCATGGGGACAGCTGTCCAAAATGGCTGGATCTGCAGCGGGTCAGTTGAGACTTGGAAAGCGACCAGTGCAACATACAGGCATGTGAGTGCAAATCGGTTGTGTCTGCACCATGCAGCTTGAACTCCGGCAAGGGCTTGTATGAAATCAGTATTGGTGTAGTAGTACTCCAGTATTAATCGCGTAGTAGTATTGATCAAGTACTGCTTCTGAGTTTAGTAGCAGTGTTAGTTTAATCATTGCTTCTTCTAGTCGTCTGGAATTGGTTTTGTAATGGTTTAATTTTGTATTGCCAGATCGCTGAATCAGGCATATGGGCGCAAATCTGTTTCTTTTGCATCATGCAGCATGAAGTCCGGTACGGCTTGTATGAACTCAGCAATGCTGCAGTAGTACTTTAGTATTCATTCAGTAATATTATCCATCAAGTATTGCTTCTGAGTTTAGTAGCAGTATTACTGTGAGCAGTGCTTCTAGTTTGGAATCGGTGTTTCATGTATTCCTAGTCTAGCAACAGTTGAGAATACTTCATTCGAGTTTTTAGTGGCACGTTTGCTTCAGACTAGTCATAGCATCAGTTTGATATTAGTTGTTACCTTTGGCTTAGCAATGCTGATTCCACCTTGTAGATCCAGTAAGGTGAAAGACACGCAACATACCCTGCAAAAGTCAAGCTCCCCTCACTTTTGGCGCTAGTACTTTTTACTTTTCCCCAGTTAGAGTAAAAAGAAGTAAAGCAGCACGAGCTTGCACCCACAGGACAGTAGCAAGTAAAATAGCCACAAGTAAAACTTGTTTCACTTCTGGCTGTTTTACTTGTTTGCTTCTCCCCAGGAACAGTAAAAGCAACAGACAAGTAAAACCAGTTTGGCCCCATGAGAAGTAACATGTAACACACCCCAAAGTTACTTTTTGGACCCATGCAGAGTAAACCGTCCATTTGCCAAAACATGTTATTACGAATTTTGTTTGGTTCCCCAGTGTGAGCAAACAAGTCAACGCACAAAGCGTTTGGACCCCTCAACAATGAAAAGTAAAGCTGTCAAATGTAAGGCAATCTTGTTGTTTTACCGTCAGCAGTTGCTTCTTCTTCTTCTTCTTCTTTTTTCGGCGTTTTGCTAGGGACATGAACAAGTCATATTGTTATCCGTATTTTGTTTGATTCATGCTGTTTTACCTTTTTGCTTTTCAGTAGCATATCTTTACTGGGTAAAACTAAAAAAAACACTGCCTGAAGTCAACAATGCTAATGGCATCTAATTGCTGCTGTATTGTTTCTGTATTGGTTGCTTTTTATGGGGCGCAGAATCAGAGCTGTATGCCTTTTTCATTTTTCTATGTTGCTGGCTCCGCGGGGCGGACAGCCTAGGGTATTGGGGGCATACCCCATGGGCGGGGTCGGAGTTCGCACATGTACTGCGGGGTTGGCTTTTGTCACCAAGGTATGGGACATTTTGAGAGTGTCGCTGGGATGGACCCAGCGCACTGACTTGTGATGATTGATTGATCTACCATCTCTTCTCGCATCCTGCATTTGGGTAATTAATCAGCATTTGACTCAGCATTGGCTCCATTTACCATTCCGGTAAGTGCCCCTTTGATGCCATCACGTAGATTTTATCACCGGGTCAGATTAGCATGCTGGTGTTCCACGTATGGCAATTCCTTCATCCCAGGAGGCACGGAGCGCGCAGTCAGCTGCCCTCTGTCGCCTTTGGGTGCAGCGGCGACCCAGGTCCACCATTTTGTAGAGTGCCTGGACCGCTACTTCGGCAACGTCTGCGAGTTGGACCTGATCTTCAATTTCCACAAGGCGAGAATCACGAGGAAACCCGTGACCCCCTCTTCCAATAGGGCGGAGAGGGGGCAAACCCCGGAAGACGTTTCTGATGGCGGCTAGGGAAACCGGAAAGAGGTGAATGCCGGCCTTGTGAAGTATAGCCTACTAAGTTTCTCATTGAAGCGTCCGGTAGGATTATTTCGGGTGGCAAGAAACCTTGCCCGCCATGCTTGGCCATAATTGGTCATGGGACATGTCGCATTGATCCCTAGTGAGCGGTGTCCCCGCTTCAGCTTCCGCTCGCTCGAAAGATCAAGCTTTGGCACGGGTTTTTGAACAGGCGCCGAAGCCAAAACCATGGGCAAGTGGAAGGTGTAGGTGTCCTTTTTGGTTGTTTTGGCGGAAACACTGGTGGTTTAATCATCCACCAGGGCCATCTATTTGCCCTAAAAGGACACCTATGGCCTTGCACCTTTTCAGATCCATTGGCGGCGGCTCCGACTGAGTTTGTGTCCATTCGGACGGAGCTTGAAAGGACAACCCGAACACTAGGAGTCTCGAGTTTACACACCGCTTCGTAGCTTTCCGTCCATTCATCCGAACGCCCCAAAGTGGTCGTTGTCCTTTGAACAACGAAGCACTATTGGGTGTCTCCCACGTGAGGTTACCACCATTGTGACTTAGGATTTGGGGGAACGGTGGGGGGTCACAGAGGATCTCTTTTTTGTCTGACCTTGCGCGTGCAAGGGTGTGTGTATCCATAAAGGGTCAGGCTCCTTCACACATACCAACCCTGGGTGGTCAACGGAACATTGTGTGTACAACACACACATGCATACCTTACATATGTATATATATATATATGTATATTATACATTGCATATATATTTATATACACATGAGCAGCGCCAAAAACCCTTTTGAAAGGAGTTAATCGAGAGTCTCTCCTGACGAAGCCTCGCGAAAGCTAATACGCAGGGCAGGAGCCAGCGAAAGCTTGCGGCGAAAGTGGCTGAAGAAGAGCCCGCCGCGAAAGTGCATGTTTGCAGTTTCTGTGTCGGCGAAAGTGAAACGCGTGGCCGCGAAAGCATCGCGAAAGGTTCCGCGAAAGTGGTTTGCTAGTAGAGGGCTTTATGTACCCTATTTTCGGCAGCTCACGTCGTGTGTATCATACTTACTGTGGGTGGACAAAATCCTGCACCACTTTGAAAGCATGGTTGAAGCCATTGTTGGTTGGTATTTGCAGTTGAATAGAATCATTGCAGTTTTCTTAGGTGGTGCAGGATTTTGTCCATCCACCGTATCATTGTATTCCCTGCAGAACTGTGGTGAGTGGCAGACTCGAGCATGGATGTAGCCAACACGTAACTCGCAAACGAATTGGACATCACCCCCCCTTAAAAACAAAAAGAACTCGGGTTTGTCCGGGGTTTCCTCCATTCCTTTTTTTTTGTAACCACAAAAGGTGGTAGTTTCAATGGACATCCACCAATAAATTACGACTTTTGAAGGGGCATTCCAGTGACCGCTGTTGTGTTTCGTTTTGTCCCCAGCTGACGGGGTCGATCGTAGATATGCTCGGTTAGCAGCTTAGGGTTCCAAAGGAGGGTTCCTTCCGATTCTGACATTCTGGGACTGCGGGCCACCAGTTTTTGGTTGCTTGAACCCCGAAACGAATTCCATCGTCTGGAGGCCTACTACATCTTGGACGAGATCTTGATCAGCGGCGAGCTGCAGGAGCTGGTTTCGACTCGAGCAACTCCCGTGCGGGGGGGGAAGGGGCTGAGAAGCTCACAGATGTTCTGGGTGAAGGGTGGCATCTTGTGCCCTCCTTCCCACCCTGCCATGGCATCTGACTGGGACCTCCACGACCTCCACAAGGACATTGATCTTAGAGGCACCCTACAGCTGCCTTCTGTTAGTGGGAGGTATTTCACATGGAAAGATCCGGTCCAGCGTGAGCATGTTGCGCGGTTGCGGAGCTGCTTTGCCCTGCCACGTGTGGAGGGTGCAGTCTGAGCGTCTCAAAAAGTCAACCATCACCTCCAAGGCAAACCAGCTCATCCGACTCATTTTGTTTCTTTTCCTTGGAGAAGGGTTGGTCTGCGGCAGTCCTTGACATCGGCTGTGGAGTGTAATTTTGGTTGGTCAAGGCAAGTGGGAGCCCGATCTGGTCGAGCCATCCATCTCTCCGGGAGGAGTCGAGCAAGAGAGCAGTGCTCCACCACATCTCCGAGCAGGAGAGCCTTTTGTCGAGCGCGCGCGTGCGCCCCAACAAACAGGGGAGGGCTTGAGAGGCTGCCTGGTGACAGGCGAAGCAGGTGGGTTCAGCAGAATCCTGAGGTGGTGTATCTAGGGAGAACCCTAAACCCTAGACCCTAGACCCTAAACCCTAAACCCTAAACCCTAAGAATTTGCCAGAAACAGGTTGTTCTTCCAGCTTGTTCTTCGGCCCGGCCTTGGAAGTTGTGGGTCTGAGTTGGTTCTGCTCCAACGAGAAGCCCAGAGGCTCCAAGTCGTTCCGCATAGCGAACCCGGTGAATGGTGGCCCTGCAGCCCAGCATGTAAAACGGGCCATTCCGGCTGGGTCGTCCATCTTTTTCATTTTCAGGATGTGCTATTCCAAAAAGTAGCCCTTCCCAGGTGGAGAATTCTTCCACACTCTTCACCCAAGGCTCCTTTTTTCGAGACAATGCTGCATTCCTATGGAAAGCACTTGGGAAAGAAAACAAATAGTCCGCGGGCATTGGGAACCGGGACCCGGTCGCCAGGCGCGGTACCCAGAACTTTGGGCGTTTTTTCGCCACCCAGTTCCATAAGCGTGAGAGGTAAAGCCTGGAGTTGAGAACAAGCATTCAGTTACCCTTCCGATTAACAATGGGTTACCTGACAGAGGGCATTTGGTCAGTTCCATGGCAATTGAGGGTACCGGGGTCATTCTTTTGACCATTTCTGCGGGTTCTCAAGTCAGGGGTGGTTTCCCTGCAGCCACCTGGGGTGTGACTTTGATACTGGTAGCATAATGTGGCCAGAGTTACCTGCCACAGTGAGTAAATGATGAGTAAACTAAACTGGGATGGTCAGATGGAACCGCGCCCGATCATTTCTGATGCCAGATTGATGTTACTCACAAGAACCTACCGCGCCATTTGAAATGCACCTACTGCACCTGGGCAAGACACCGGCACGACCTCAAACCACGGGGGGCGTGACCTTATCCACGATGATGGTACTCAGCCCCGCCTGAATTGCTTCCTTCATTGGAAACGAGATCATCTCTTACGTGAGCCAATAATTCACTCGGATGAAACCAATAATTCTTGGTGTTTTGCTCAGAGCATGGGTATAATGGATTGCACAGCTCCAGGCCATTAGGGCTTCCTTCTGGAACGCCAAAGTCAACGCACCAAGCTTCGAAGGGCCCTCCTTCGACGGCCCCAAAAGCCAAGAAAAGGCTTCCCCATTGGCACACGTGTGCAGCTTTTAGTCTTTGGCTCCATTTACCAAGGTGCCATTTTGGAGCCACAGCCATCTGTGACCCGCACCTGCAGTCTTTGGGCGAAGAGCGCATGAGGGCACCACTTCGAGCGGCAACATGAAAACAGCGAGAATCAGAGCCAGCACAGGTTTCTACAAAGCTGCGTTTTAGTGAGCCTTGCTGGTCTGAACCTCCTACGTGTCCTTTTGCAATATCCCAGAGCGGCACTTTGTTTGCTTTGGCTGATGCCCGCGCGCGGGGTTTGCTTCCGGCCCTTTGCCCGACAGGATGCCATGATGCAGGAGAACGAGCAGGCTCGACTGCGTGAGCTCTTGTGTTCTACATGACATGTAAATCAGCTTCCCTCTAGTTGGTGGTTTGGATTGGTGGTTTGGTGGTTCAGGAGGGGTTTGCCATCTACCCTCTACAAACACCAAGGGTTCAATTCCCCAAACCACCAATCCAAACCGAAAAGATGTTTGGGGGACTCGCATGTACCAGCACACAGCTCACTTGCCAGCATACATCTACCAGCCATAGGTGAAGCCGGCGCCAGAAAAAAGAAGAAGGAACCACTTCAGTGTCAGCGCCCCGTCTTGGGCTCTCAAGCCCGGTTCTGAAATTTGGGCAAGCCTTGTTTGGTGTCTGGTTTCCTAAGCCAACATGAGTGGTACTGGGTTGGTTTATGATGGGGTGCGGGTGCGTCTTTTTTAGGGGACCCACTAACATGGGGGGGGGTCCTCGGGTTTTGCCTTAGAACCTCCAAACAAGGGGGTACCAACTAAAAAAAAAGGCACACCCGTTCAGTCCATTCTGTCGAGGCCAAGCGCAAGGGCTGAGAGATGCCTGCGAACTTTCGCCGCGTTGCGGAAGGCGAAAGGACACGGACGGTGCTTCAGACGGATGGTACTCTTTGTTGCATTTTGCTTGGAGATTAGGACTTTAACTTGTTGCCAACGAATGGGTTTTTCGTATTAAAGCACTAAAAGTTAAACTTTTAGCAGGGGAGCAGAAAGCAACCGAGTGGTCACATGAAACGGTTGGCTTCTGCAGCCACTGGCGACAAAATCCGATGTCTTGATTTGTGGGGTGTGCTGGATCACGGCTGGTTGGTCACAGCATGTGCTCACTGTCCTCAAGTAGAATCAAACGAATGCCAGCCTGCCAAGACGACAAAAGTTGAGCCTGCGCCAGCGTGATTCGTGCGAACGACATCCGCAGGTTTGGATTCGCATGGTTTGCATGGCTCCAGGTAGCTTGGATGCGCTTCGGGGCTGGAGCCCACGCTCCAGGTGCTTGTAGTTGTGACAGCTTTCGATCCATTGGGGGGCATCCGGCATGTCCGAAGCGTCCTTTTTGATGGCTTGAAAGGACACCAAAGGGAGATGTTTGGTCTTAGCTGTGGCTCATCGTTCCTGCCACGAGGCTCAAGTTGCAGCCATGTCCCCATAAGTGGGCTGCGAGAGATTTGGATTCGGATGCCACGCCGTTGATTTTTTCTCCGGCCAAAACTTCGGCAAGTCAAGGCCACTTATCGGGTCCACCCCTGTCATCCTAAGTTTGCACACATTCGCACGAGCTTTTGATGGACATGAGTCATGCATGACTTGGAGCACCACTAGAATCAGCTCACCTAGCGTTTTACAGAAAGCTCCAAACGCTTGATGTGCGCAAGTGGTCAACCACCACAATATCACAAGGACAACTAGCAATGCCCTTTTTACGCTGCTAGTGCAGAATCAGAGTTGATTTGCCTTGACTTGCTGGCGCGATAGGTAGCGAATGACCAGTTTGGGGATTCCCGTAAAGGACACCAAATCCGGGATGGCTCATTTATAGGGGTCTTTCCATTTCTCATTCCCTGCCTATCGGACCGGCAAGATACCAAGGGACACAAGCCGTTTTGCCCGCCACAAGTCGTGGTGGACCGATTCCCAGATGGCGGAAAGGCACCAGGCTGAGGCGGCGCGGCTGCGGTCGGAGATCGAGGAGCTGCTACAGAAGGTAGGGATCAGTGGGTCAGTGGGGGGGTGAGGGGGGGAGAGGAGGAGGGGGGTGGGGGGGTGGGGGAAGGGATATGGATTTTGTTTCTCGGCAGGTTTCATGAGCTTCTTTGGTGATGTCTAATGAGGACGCAGCCATTTGCCTCGGCAAGAAATTCAATCTCGGGGAAAACTGATTGCCGAAGGACACATGTAATGCCCACTTCAGGAGTTTTGGCTTTAGCTATGCGACCCCCCACCGAGAATTTGCTGCGAAATGCAACTGTAGGTGTTCACCGTGGAAGTGCTCTTAAAATTGTTCCTTGTGAAGTCTGTCCTGCTGTCCTGCTGTCCTGCTGGTTCTCAGGGGAGGGAGGGGGAGACCCAAATAAGCCCTTAAAACGGCCTTGTCGAGGGCTTTCTTCCCCCAGCCCCGTCAGACCCCTATGAGGTTGTGATTGGAAAAGTCAAGATCAGTGGCTGCAGATGGGTTGGATCGCTGATACCTTGGGAACTCGGGAGACACTGACTGGCCAAGCTTGTTGTCGGTGCGAATGCAACGGGGATGGATGTGCTCAACACCCACAGAAACCATCGAATCCATCCTGAAGGAGACAAGCACCATTTTGGTAGGAATGTAAAGTGTGCTTTGGCTCAATTTTGAGGGTCATTGCGGTTTGCATTTCGGGTGCATATGGTTCAAAACATACTCGACAGGTTTTGTCGTGATATCAGAAGAGTTGGGTTTGTTAAAATGGCCAACCTCTAAAAGAGGAGTTGTTTACCATTTGAGGCAGCCACAGGAGCTCCTTCCGATTGGGGGTTTTGCTTTTTGAACCTAGAAGGATTTGTCCTGGGAAGTAGTGCATTTGTCGGACCTCAAAATGGGCAACGCCAAGCAGTTTGTTCGCATCTGAACATGATCAGCACTAAGAGGTGCCGCCAGCATATGAACCCCGCAGACGAAAGGCAAAGGGGTTCCAGTAAGTTGCGCAAGTAGACTGATTCACCCCACCCCAAGTGATTTCACTGCTTGCCTCACTTGAATCCCAACATGCAGGCTAGTCTCGGGACTCTCGCGTTTCCGGGAGCTGTCAAAAGCCACGGCTGCGTAGAAATTCCGCAGCTTGGGCTTTTGAGCCAAGGGTCAACTGGAGCTAGTTTCTTCTCAGAGCGTGTTGAACCGAATCAGTCTATGGTTAGAGGGATCGATCTATCGATCTCCGTTTAGGGGCGCAGTCCGAAATCAAGCACTCAGGCTGAGCAAGGAGACTCGGGTTGTAGGGCTTCAATATTCGATCAGGAAGGTGCTTGTGATATCTTGTAATAGCTGTCCATCGAATTTGTTAGGAGAGCAAGACCTGGCCGACAATTGCTTGCAGGGCTTCCTCCACTAAGTAGGCAAACAGAAACGGTCCCAATTCACAAGGGGAGGTGCTTCTTGAGCCATGAACTGCAGGTTGCCGCTCTTTTTCCCCTCGGGTCACGGGGAGCATCTCGTTGTTTTTTCTCGAGAAGCTAGACATTCGACATTTGCGCACTGGGTCAGGGCATGAGGACAAGTCTCTACCCAGGTTGGGCATTAAACTTTGAACTTCGTTTTGGTTTTCTATGCCCAGAACTGGGGTCATTATTTTGACAGTTTGACTGTTTCTGGGGGTTAAAGTCAGGAAATGTGGGGTGTTTCCCTCTAACCCGCCACTGAACGGGGGTGACAACTTGATCATGGTAATCATGAGGCCAGAATGCGGCCTCGTGGGTTGGAGGGCGTGGCAATCTGCATGCCCCCTAGCACCCAGCCGTCAATCTCGCAAATCACTTTCCCCCTCTTTGGAAGTTAGAACCCCATGGCTTTCACTTTGCGTTTTGCCAAGGGATGTTCGGACTTTCACACTTTTCGCCAACGAATCGGTTTTCCGTATTAAGCGACGAAAAGTCAAAGACTTTCAGCACGGGAGCAGACAGCAACCGAGGCCGGGTGTGTGAAGGAAGCGCCTTGAGTTTATTGTTCTATGTCTTTCTGTTGTCTTTTGTTTTAATGAGTTCGGCTCGCTGCTAGCAGAAAGCCACAGAGTCCAGCGAGCGGAAAGAGCGGAGAAGCAGCTCCGAAGCAGCTCCGAACGTCCGCGCGTCAGGCCCGGGTGCTGCTGCGGGGCGGCGGCGGCCCGGGGGTTCCCAGGCGGAGGGTTCCATGGGTTCCATGGGTGGTTTGCTGCTCAAACTGGCTGCTAAAAAGGGAAGCCCTGAGACTCACTTCGCCCATTTTGGTGGCAAACGACCAGTTTGGGGACTTCTTTCGGCCAATCCACTCGTTCGGAAAGGATGATGTACCATGAAAGCAGCAAAAACAACAGCTAGTTATGAGTCATACTGTGGGTGGACGAAATCCAGCAGAAGCTATTGTTGGTGGGCATTTGCAGTTGAATCATCAGAAACCAGGGCTTCTGAACGGTGCTGCGAAATGGATTTCGTCCATCCACAGTAGGGCCCAGCCCATCCGACGGCATGTTGGCTTTATTTTCGACCAGACAGGATGCTCCGGAAGAGGGCGCTTGGGACTTCATGCGCCGGTGATTCCATTCCACGTGTCATCAAGGGAAGCCATCAGAAACAGTAAAGTTTCAGTAGACATACTACGTATGTATATATATATATATACACACGAAACATAGAAATACTATATATATATATACACCAAAAATGGGAAGCATGAGCCAATAAAACATTAAAGATGTAATTCAGAAAGCATCGGGAAGGGTTCTTCCGTGCGAAGCCCTGCCTTTTGCGCAGCGGACGTGCTTAGAGAACTTGCTCAGCGAGCTTGCCCAGAGAGAGCTTGCTTAGAGAACTCGCTTAGAGACTTCTCAGAGAACTTGCTTTTGATATGTGAAGCTTAGCTTTCTATGGCGGCGGGGTGTGACTGTCGGCACCAGGGATTAGCCTGGTCGAGGTGCAAAAGCTGAGGCCTTTTCTACTTTCCCCGGCGCAACCCTTTGCGGTGATCGGTCTTGTCGAGGTTTGCAAACTGGAGGTGTTGGCTGGTGTTTGTGGTGGAAGCGCTGAAATGCAAGTAGAACGATGTTTGTTTCTTGTCGGGACGCGGGGCAGAAATTTTGTCTCCGTTTGCGCGCTGGCACTTTGAAGCGCTTGGTCCGCGCAGCTGGTAAGTTAGAAAGTAGCACAAAAGTTAAACGAAGTACACTTTCGTAGCACCGGCTCGAAAAACGGCAGCTTTTCAAGTGCAGCAGGTCTGGTATGTCTAGCTATTTAAACCCCCCAGTCAGGCGAAACGGCGACCTGTGTGCCCAGGGCACCGCATCCCCGGCGGGCGGAGAGGGACAAGGAGTTGGAGCAAGCGCTGGAGAAGGCCGGAGGTGGCGCTTAGGAGTCCCGGTATTTCTGGTTTCACGGGGAAAACTGGGGGAGACTAAGAATGTTTGGGTTGTTTGGAGGAAGATTCAGGAGAGAACCGCTCACAGTTCGGCGGGTACCTTTTTTGAGACATACGCTGAGCAGACGCGGCAGTTTGGGCGAAACGCTGTTTAGGTCCCATTGGTGAACGCATCAACAACAATCCTGAATCCGAAGCTGTGCTTTGACCACGTGGTTTTGCCGGGTTTTTCTGACGTTTTTGCCCAACTCCTTGTTTTTGGTCTCCGTTCAGTGCATTCCGGACCGGTGGTTGGTGAGTTGGGGATGGACCTTTCATCTGGAACTTTGCAGGAACTTGAGCATTCCCCACGAAGCAGCAACAAAAGTCATGCCTTTTTGGTGCGAGGAGATGTCGCCACCCTGTTTTGTGGCGATTCGTTTCTTCGACGGGCCGGGGCTGATAATCGGGGGTCAACACGAGCTTGGGTCAAAGAGTGTTGCACCCCTCACAAAGTACACACAGGAGTTTAGCGCAATTAGGGCTGACCTTCAGGGACGCCAGTATTGCATTCCTCTGAGTAGCTTCCGCCACCGCGTTGTCACCCACTTTGGCCTTTATTCCTTGTCTCTCGCTGGCACGCCTGTCGCCTGTTGAGTTAGTATACTCTGAGTGAACTGGATCTCACATGACCTATTCGCAAACGCACTGGTCGTGGAATTCACAGGCAATCCTTCTGTTGGGCCGGTGAATGTTTATGATTGACTCCAGGTCTGACTCTCACACACACACACAAACCCCGCCCGAAAAGAGAATCCTTGCTTTGCCTGACCAGTGAGAACATCTAGCAATAGGGATGGCTGCCTCTCAGTGCTCGGGGTGTCAATACGCGCTCGTGCAATGTAGGTGCAGACTAGATCATAAGCGATCTGCGGTCACGAAACGAGCTGGCACTCTCCACAAGACCCTCGTTTCTCACGTTGGCCGCTTGAGAGTCTCACCCATTGGTGAAGTTCTGGCGTCAGCTTCCTTTGGCTCGCTAGTTGAACAGCTGGTTGCAGAGAAGTGAGACAAGTTGTGCTTGAAAGCACCATTCTCAGATAGCCCTTCCGGTCAAAAGATATGTTTTTGCTCGGGTCGGTGCAGTGCACAGAGACTCTGCTTCACGCAAACCTCGGAAACCCACCTGGGTCTCTATGAGCCTCCGCTCGTTTATTGGGAAGGACCCCACGCCCAAACTGCGCGGAGGGAGAACATCAGCATCCTCACTCGGGGTGATTCGCTCTTTTTTGGGGGAGCCTCTTGTGTATGGTTTTACAGGGACACCTGCTGTTTGTTTGGGGAGCCTTCTGTTTTTTGGTTTTTTGGGGACACCAGGAGGAAGCCAACCTTTTGGAGGGCCCCCGAGTCTTGGACAACCGCTCGCGCCACCCAAAGACATCGAAGCCATGGCCGCTCGCGGCTGGGCGCTTCCGCTGGGCGCGGCGGCCTGCGGCCTGGCAGTCTGGGTGGCACTGCGCCGAAGGAAGCGAGCCCCGGCCGGACGTCCGGTGCAAAGACTAAGAAGTTGAGAGTGAGAAGAGAGCCAGTGGTTTGGAATTTGTGCCGTCCACCTTGTGTCATTTTTTGATGGTTCTAGGGGTAGCTTCCATTTTCGTTCTGAATCCAGGGATCCGAATCTTTCTAGAAAACCTGGGAGACCGGATTTTGGGAAAACGGATCCGGATTTTGGAAAGAACGATGGTTGAAAAGAATGGGGAATCAACCCCTAGATTGGTGGGTGGAGGCGGAGGTGTTGGACCCCGGTGACAAAAACCTGTTGTCATTCATATGGGGGGGTGACTCACTCTCCCTCAAGTCACAAATCACGAAGAAACAGGGACACCCCCCCATATAATCAGTTTTTGTTTACAGGCTGGGGTGCGTGAACCAGGCAGCGAACAACTGAAGTGAACCCCAGGCAATCTGAGTGCGGCCTCTAATGTGTGGACTCTGGGCAGTAATTACTGGCCTTGAGTGTCCCAAAACTTTGCCATGGACCCTGCATCTCTGTTCGACTTGAGCCCTCGCGTGGGTGAACTGATTTTGAGACATGCCGTACGTAAGAAAACTCAGGTGCCACAAGTTTGGCAAATTTCCTTTCAACATTTTACTTGGCATCTCGCTTTGCCTCGAAGGTTGGCACCACAGCAACCAACACAGTAATTCCTGGTGTAGCTTTGAGTACCATTTCCTATCGGATTTGGTTGGACTTGAGTAAGGTTCAATCATTCCACTTGCTTTCTACGGTTTGCAGGGGTGGCCAGCACTCGTAAAATATGTCATTCCTGAGTGGCACTACTGCAATTGGAAGAGAATTGGAGGGGGGACATTGCCAACCACACCTGCCAGCGATTTTTGCGAGGTGTTCCTGCAGATAGTTTGGGAATTTTCCTTGACCAGGTCGTGGCAATCGGGTTTTTGATGATGATGCCGGCGTGTTCCCCCAAGCGGAAATCTAGATCCTCTCTCAACGCGGACACACCTTGTCAACCAGGGGTTTATGAATGCTTGGTTCGCATTTGCTGCTTTGCTCCTCAAGGGAATCCCTTTTGAAAGTTGATCGCACAAACTCGTTGGCGTTGGAATCACGTGAATCCCTTTCGTTTGACTATCGCTGCGCACGCGCATGAATGTGTGCCGCGGGGCAACTCGCAAGGGGCATTTTCAGATCCCTTGAACACCAGGTTTCATCATGAGGTCACTTTGTGGAGTCTTTGTATAAAAGGAACACAAGGAACCCTCCCCCGCTCAAGTTTTGGGCCAGTTCCGCTTTACTTCTTCTTTCCCCATCAACAGAAGGCCAAGGCAAGACAAGTCACTGTTTGGCGTGTCGCTGGTTTCTATATAATAGACACACACACACACAGACACACATACACGCCCGCGCACATGCGCAAGCGCACACGCACACGCACACATCCGCCCGCCTGCCCGCCTGCGCGTGCACGCGCATGCGCACGCGCACGCTTACACGCAAGCGCACGCTTACACGCAAGCGCACGCTTACACGCAAGCTCACACGCACCCGCGCCGCCCACGCTCGCGCGCGCGCGCGCGCTCTTACTTCCGGACACGCACGCGCACGTGCATGCGCACTGGCACGCGCATGCCGCACGCACGCAGGCTCAAACAGACATGCCGTCTTGATGCCGAGGGGCCGTTTTGGCCCTGCCGCGCCTGTCTTCCGACGCCGGCGCCTCAGCGTTGGCGGCGGCGCTGCAGCGTTGCGGCGTGGTGGTGGTCGAAGGCCTGGCGCCGGAGCTGGCGGAGCAGGCGAAGCGGGAGCTCGCGGACAAAGGGCTACAAGGCTGCCGGTTTTGTCCGGCGCGCATATCGTTTTTCTTTGGGAAGAACCAAACTTATGGCACGCCACAAACAACATGGTCTGATTCTGCTTCATATTTCGTGTACCCCACCAAGAAGGCTCGCCAGTTGGACAAACGAACAAGCGGGGATACGGGTGGGGATATAGGGAGGATTCCCTTGGCGCCATTTCCCATATCAAACTTAGTCAAGGTGCATCAAACGGGGAATCCTCAACCGTATCTTTGGTTCCTCCTTGAATCACTGATAGTTGGTTTCCCTGAGCCAGAAAAAACTATCGCCTTCCCTTGAGTTGGCTTTCGGCAGCTCTAGGGCCCCATTGGGGAACCCCTGGGCACGTCAGTTGCTTGACAGGACCGGGATCCAGTTGAGGCCTGCAACCCACTCGGTGCCAAGAGTGCCTTGTGGGTTCTGTTGATGCAAGGGGAGAATGCAGGGACCCCCCTCCTCTCCTCCCTCGTCCAAGATAGATTCCAGTAGCCCCAAACCACTGGACCCCGAAGTTCTACGGGGTATACAGCCACTGAATAGCCACCATATCAAGTGTATATACCCCCGTTGTCCTCTGGGGGTAGTTCTTACGGGCAGCGGAATCCGTCTTAGACTTTCGCGTGGGGCTTTTGAGTCGGTCAGGCACCTTCCACGGGGCGGAAGGCTCCTTCGCCGGGCACCACACGCGGCGCAACGCGGGCAAGGCTCTGGGGGAGTCTTTGGCGGCGCAGGAGCTGGCGCAGCATCCGCTGATCCTGGAGGCTGTGGAGAAGGCGTGGTCTTAGTCCACCAAACGCACCATGGACGCACTCATTTTCGGACACTACATAGACCTTTTTCCCTTCCGCAAGTGATACCTTTCTTTCTGTGTCTTAAGACGATTTGGATCGCCCGGCTGTCCACACTCTTGCTGCTTAACCTTACCCCAGTGGTACTCGTGGACCGCGTGGCCCGCGGGAGCCTGGAGTTCGGCGTCCGTTGCCGGTGACAAGTTTGGTGCAGACCGTCCTTTTGCCCTTCGTGGTTGTTTCTTTTGGCCTCCCTTGTTTACATGGACCCTGCCACCGCCCCGCGTTTTTCGAATCGGGGGTTGATCCGGACGGCTTTGGGGTCGGAGGTGCTGCTGCGCTGGTGCAAGCGCATCAACCTGGGCACCTGCTCCGCCATCTCCGTGGAGCCGCCGAGCGGAAACGAGGCGCCGGCGCCGCCGCAGGTGCTGCACCGCGACAACAGCGCCGCGGCCCTTTGTGGCGGGCAGGGCGACTGGCGCAGGGTTCCTCGTAGATCTTTGCTTTGGTGCATTTTGCCAAGGGATGTTATTTTTGCCAACTGATGTTTAGCAGGGGAGCAGAAAGCAACCGAGATTGGGAAGCTGGCAATCGGATCTTTTGCACTCAGTCTTGCGGGGACCGCGACCACCCCAACACGCCACCCGCCTGAACAGCGCAAGGAATGCCCAGTATCCCGCGGTCCAACCAACACCGGTTGCAGACCGGCCTCAATTTCGCAGCGTCGATCTCTTTGAGAACCACGACTTTACACTTATTGACCTCAGCTGAGTTTGGGGAGTTCGAGGACGGGGGCAATCAATTTCTCCATGCCATGTTGAAAGAGAGAGAGAGAGAGGGGAGAAACCTGGTCTCTGGCTCTCAAGGAGTCGCATGCTTAAACGCCTAAAGCTTCGCTTTCCGAACTTGTCGAGGGGTTTAGTTGTGAGTTTCTTATAGTTTCTTGTCGCAACTCGCGCGCAACTCATACGATGCCATAGGTGAAAAGCCTCTGAGGCCAAAGGGGGCCATAGATTCCCTGGGCGGAACTTGAGAGAAGGTCGTAAGAGGACTGGTCCAAACCAGGTATATGTCTTGCGTCAGGCAGAATGGGTCCTGTTCCCACAAGCCCCTGTGGTCTGTGCTGCTTTTTTCATCTTTTTTCCCACCTGTTGCTTGGAACCGAGGCATGTGGGGGGCCTCCACTTGGCCCTGGTTGCCGAGCTCCTCCTTTAAAGGGCGCCCGGAGTTCAGCGTGTCCGTGATGCGGCGCGGTCTGAGACAAGGGCCAGCTGTTCGCGGAGGTCCGTCTCAAGGGATCTGGCTGTCGGTAAAAGCGTTGCAACTCCTTGGCAACTTCAGTTCCTCAAGTCGTTTTGTTGACGCGCTCTGAAGATTGGCATGAAACCCCCGAAAAGTGCCCCTCTCCGAGTTTCCCCCCCAAATACCCTTGGTCCATTGTCGCAAGCGAGTGCCGACACATCTTGGCCGACTTTACTCATTTGTCTGTTGGTATAGGAGATTCCTGCCTGAATGGGTGTATTTGGGGGAAGTCAGTTCTTGCACCTTTGGATTTGCTCGGTTTAATTTGCTGCCTTCTTGGGCATCACACGGGCTCTTCACCTGTTAATGGAGGGCTTGGGTCTTCCATTGAAAGCCCCAGGAGCCTCTGCATAAGGTACCTCGGACATGATTGGACTCTACATTGACCCTTTGGAAGGGAAATGACCCATGGGCCATGTTTTGTCCCGAGGCCCGAACTAAAAGTGTTGCTTAGTAAGTGGTCAGCAAGTCTGGTTCTAACCCACTTACCATGATTGCAAGTCTCCTAAGTGGGTTGTGCCCAGGCTTTACTAACCACTGACGAAGTACCCGATTGCCGCTTTAAGCAAGGGATAGGATCCTACGAAAAGAGCTCGAGGTGGGCGCTGTCCGATTTCACCGCCAGCAACGGCGCCACCCGGTTCCTGCCTGGGTCCAACCACTGGCCGGCCCAGGCGCTCATGTTTTTCGGGGCCGCACCGAAACCCTGCCCATTCTGAAGCGTGAAATGGGTGTGGCTCCACAAAAAAAGGAGTTTTGGTCGATGTTTCCACTTACCAGGGTTCATTTTTTGGTACCGTTTTTTTGAGCCACAGTCAAATGATGACATCTATGGATGGAAAAGGAACTCCGCTTCCCACAACAGTTGGTAGGTTTATCCCAGGATTCATAGGGTGTCTTTAATCCCAACTGGTGCGAACTGGATTTGTCAATCCCGAGTATGAGGGAGGCACGGAGCACGGGGATCCTACATCCATCCATCTGCGGCTGTATTGGCCCCAATAAAAGTTTCATGGAACTGCAGACTTCCTTGGTGACTGCAGAAGCATTCAGATTCCTTGACACCGGCTAGGACTGTTTCAATACAAGCACATCGCAAGATACGCATCCCTGGCGCCCCCCCCAGGGCCGCCCAAGAGATCGTGATCAGGCCCTAGTTTGGATGCCCATTCAACGCTCGCCTGGAAGATCCAGGATCATGTCAGCGAAAAAACGACATGAGCAAGCCTTACTTTGGCCTGATCTGGGAAGAAGCCAGGGGGGCCTGGGTGTCCTTTTGATCAGTTTATTTGGTTAGGAATGGATGGGTTCCACTGGTTTAGGTGGGATTTATGCCCCATCCCACCTATTCTACCAAAAAGCCCAGGAAGCCGGGAGCGGTGGGGTGGTGGCCTCGTGGCCTCGTGGCCTCGTCGTTTTGGTCGCGCTCCGAGGGCGGCGCCTACGGCAAGGGCGTGGGGCCGCTGCCGGAGGAGGCGGACGCGGTGAAGGCAACGATGGCCCGGGGCTCCGTGGCGCTGTGGCTGGGCAACACGCTCCACGGGGCGGGCGCCCATTCTGGGAAGGCACCCAAGCCCGCCCAAAGTGCGGAGGGGTTGGGAGATTTGCAGCCCCTCAAATTGGGGGTAAGAAGGGTTATGGAGATGGGAGATGGCGATCCTATCTTTTTCCGCCTGTTTTCCTTTTGTTTCCTTCGTTTTCCCCTTTTGGTCTTCTTGAGTGTGGCTTATTGGGCAGGTCGGCAAAGAATTTTGGAGCCCCCCTGAAATTAGGGAACAAATGAATGGGGGGGTCTTTCAAAGGAGGGCCGGTTTTTGCCGAGTGTTCAGCACCCTGACGTCAGCTCAAGTTAAGGAAAGACCGCCTTTTCTTACAATGGGCTTGTCTTTATTGGAGGGATCCCCGGAACACGGACACGGTGGTTTTCCTCTTGGTTTCCCTTCGAAACCAACCAACCATGGACTACCCCGAACAAAAGATACGGCCAACCGGAAGCCGAATGTACCTCTTTCTCAAGGCACCGCACCGGAAAACTGGTTGATTCCAGGCTGTCTTACGGGTGTGTGAGAATAATCACAAAGAAACTCCAAAAGGAGCCCCACGGAAGAAGGACGTGCTCAATTCCAGTCATTGAAATACGCCCAGTTCGAAAATCATACCCCGCTGCTTGACCACTAGCTGGGGCGACTTGCTCAGGCCGATTTTCTCACGCCCAAGAGACGTTGGGAATTTGTCCAAGCTCCTTTGCACAATGGCACAGATTCTCACGACGGTGAGACGCCAGGAAGAAACAGTTTTTCATCAACGCCTCAAATGGTTTCCAACCTAATGTTGATTGCCCGCCCCGCTCCGCAATTCCTCGACTTTCTCGCCAGCGATCTCGGACTTCAAGACCCACCTGAGGTAATGCTTGGGAAAGTCCTTGCAGTTGTCCAACTGCAAACTCTGGAAGGCCTCTTCGTTTTAATCCTCCAAGCCCTTCAACCTCTTTGAAGCAAAGGCCACTCTCAGCAAAATGAGATGCTCACATGAATCAGGGTAGCCTTTGGGAATTCCAGCCTTGAGAGGAACCTTCTGCCCGGCACGGCTTGGTGCTTTGGCAGCAAGGTTTTCCGGCCGAGAGATGTGAGAGAAACTCACTCCCACTCCACACAATGGCGGGGCTTCCAGCAAAGCAACCCCCAAAGTGGAGCACAAACATGGACCCGCGCCGCAATTCTCTGGCTTAACTGTGATTTGACATTGGAGTCGGCGCGGTGCGGGTCAGGTGGGAGCTCTTTTTGTGGACATGTTGTTGAACGGGCAATGGATTGGTGAATGCGCCAACAATGCAATTCAGAACTCCTTTGTTGGCCAGGCACCCTGAACATTGCAAGTTCCCCATCCGCACCAGATTCCAGCTTTGTATCCTGTGCCTTGATGCTTGCATAGTGAGCAAATCAATCGTAGCCGCGGCACTGCTCCATGCTTTTGCGCCGAGGCCATGTTTTGATACGGTGCAAAAAAAAACTGCGAGGGCGCATATTTCCGCAACTGATTCGTGGTTTGCTGCTGCTTGGCCTCTTTAGACGGCTGGACCCCTCCAAGTGCGTCAACCAATAGCCTCAGAGCTGTCAAGGTCTGGTTTCCAAGTCTCCCTTTAGAACGGACCGTGCCCAATCTTCAGGCAACAGCCCTCGACCCCCCGGGGTTTTCACATGGGTTTGCACAGCCCATTTCAGCCACGTCCTCAAAACCTGGGTAGATGAAGCTTAGTAAGGGATAGCAACCATACAGTCTTTTTTCATGGTTCTGGGTCGACTGGTGTACCGGGTTTGGATTCCGACGAGTTTTTTTTTTCTTTTCGGTTGAACTCGGATCGCCAAACTTCAGGTCTTCATCTACAACTTGGGGTGGCTGAAGCCGGAGCACAACTTCCACTGGGCGATGCCTCCAGGCGTTCTGCGGTCCTTTTCCCCAAAGCTGCAAGAGCTCATCGGGCTCTTTGGCCAGCGCCCGGGCCAAATGGGTGCTGCTGTCTGCTGTGTTTTTTTCTTCCGAACCCCCCCCCCCCCAAAAAAAAAGGCCCCAGAGAGGGTGGGGGCTCCGGCCCCAGATAGGTTTCAAAAGGGGAGGATTCCCTTCAGGCACGAGGTGAAAGGAGGTCAAGTCGAATCCGTTGGGTTCATGTTGCTTTCTTCAGGAACTGCTGGCAAGTAATGTTGACCGCTTATTAATCAACCATCCAGTTTATTGTAAACGCTTCGCGTTGCCCGCCTCGGCCCAGCCTAGTTTGAGGGAAGGGTCAGGAACACCGAAATCCAGTGTTGGGAAGGTCCGAATCCTACTGAAAGCTTGTGACCGCACCAGTTCGCCCGTGCTAGTTCGATGTTCGGAAGCCGTCCTGCTCGGAAGGTTTGAAATCCAAAACCAAGACTATCTCAGCTGCTCAGTGCCCTTGGAAAAAAAGGACCTCTTTCTGGGGATGAGCATTTTTAGTGGGGCTTGGCCTCCATAAAAAGGGGAACAATAATTGGTGTCACTGAACAACCAAGACCAACTTTGGGTGTTTGGGCACCTCCATTTCACGTGGCTGGCGGCTTGCCATGACATACATTTCTTGCTCGGTTGCTCAGCCCAAGACAGGTACATGGTGGGAATACAAACCTCCATTTGCTTAAGTACCCCGGAAAAATATCCCCAATAGACACGCCAGCAGGCGGGCTGAGGGACTGGGCCTGAGGCTAGTCTCAGGCTGGCATACCTTGAGACGCCGAAGGGGCTGGGCCTGCTGGATGACTTGGAGCCAGACACGAGCAGGAGGTCAAGGCCTGGTCAGCCTGGGCTGAGCTGCTTGGGCAGCCGGACTGGTGGCTGGCATGCCCTCAGATGTGCCTCGGCTGGGCAGGCTGGGCTGCTGGTTGGGCTAGGCCTGTTTCAGACAAGCTCATGGGTGGCCGGCAAAATTTGGGGTTGGGGGAGGGGAAAAGCGAAGATTCTCTTTGGAGAAGAGATCTTGGCCCCTTTGGGGCCGAGGCGAATTAATACGGGGGGTGTTGCTGGGTGAAGTGTGGGGAATCAGACCACTTTTGGAGCAGCCCCCACCCCCCAAATTTAGTAAACTGGATGGTTGATGAATCTGGGGTCAACTGGTCGACATTAACTTTGTTGCATGTTGCTTGGATGTTAGGACTTTAACTTTTTGCCAACTACTGGATTTTCCATTAAACCACTAAAACATGAAACTTTCAGCAGGGGAGCAGAAAGCAACCCAGGAACGCTGTGGAGCACGAGTGGTACACAGGCCCAGTGTACACCCAGCCCTATCTCGGTGGCCCCTCTGGCAGCTCCGCCGGCGAGGGCGTGCAGTTCTGACGCCCCCCCGCCAAAAAAAACCGATCCGAAGGACGGCGCACGGGTCGTTTGTTTTCCCCACTCCAGCGAGCTTCGCGAAAACACGACACATGAGTACAATGACTCGAAGGATGTGATGAGTGTATAGGATTGTTGTCTTTTTGCAGGTGCAGTCTTGCACAGTATATTATATACACATACATATAAATCTTATATATCATACATAGAGGGGTACATGTAGTACATTATTTTGGTTCCCTGTTTTTTTTTGGTTCCTTCATTTTTTTGGTTGCACCAATTATTTTGGGGTCAGAAGCTCATCTTTACAGTAACAGCTCTGCATGAACCGAATCAAACGACTACCGGCATTTTGTTTGAGTTGCTTTGCGATGTGGCTCCAACACAGGCCTGCGAGCTGCTGTATGCTGCTGTGTGCTGCTGTGTAGCGAACATTCGTTGTTGAATCTGCCTGACTGAGAATCGATGCCATGAAAGACTACACACCTTCTAAAGGGCATCCTCGCTCTTCGCGTATTTTGATGTTTGTTTAAAGGCTTCGGCTGCCTGCCATTTGACTGCACTCTTCACGCGTTGCATACTTGTCAGCCTGAAGCAAGGGGCAGGTTTGTTGACAAAGTATGACTTGCATGTGACAATGTGGCCAGCTGCCACCTGTGTATGACGCCGCCATGTGGCGTTCCATTCAAAAGGTGCGCAGAGACACTCCTTTGATTGGGCACCTGTAAAAACAAAACACAAAAAAGCATTCTGCCAAGCACATCATCGCACAGATACTCCAGAGCCAGGCACATACGTGCACACACACACACTTTCCTAGATGTTGCACGGGCTGTCTGAAGCGCGCACGATTACACGGCAAGTGGCCGCAACTTACCGATTTGCCAAACAAAGCAGAAATTTGACCATGGGACCCTGGGAGAAGCTCAATCACTCTGGCAGAAAGTCATGCAACGGAGAACAACCGCCCCTTAAATACCTTAGACCGCGTCAGCCTTGCTGGTCTGCGCGAACAGCACTGACCACGGGAGCAAGCAAGCCCATCACATGGCACCCACGCCCGATCGAGAGATACTATGCCGTGGCATCACCTCAGCACCCGTTCTTGCTTTACCACAGGCTTCCCCAGGCAGTAAAATGTGTCCAACAGCTACTTTTCACAGGCAAAGGTCGCGCAAGATTGCGAGAGGCAACCAACAAAACGCAGGGCAACCAGTTTTCCGCGCAATCTTGCGCAATCTTGCGCAAGCGCAGGAAACCGAAACAAAATCTCTCGCCCAAGGAAGTGATTGGAAAATACTTTGCGTTACGCTGTGCATCAAGCCGGCAGAGGAAAGCGTGCCCCAAAAATGACGTTCTTGGACAAAACTAGATTGAGGGATTTACGCTATTTTTCAAGCAACAACTTCTGCTTTGCTGCTTGTTAATTGGAATGAGTCTCCATATCCTCGCACTATGGAAAAGCATGTCTTCAATGTATGCCATGCCCGCAAAAATCCCATGTTGCGTGAGATTGCGCAAGACTGCGCGAAAAACTGGTTGCCCGGCGCATATTTTGGTTGCCCGGCGCAATCTTGCTTGGGAAGCGTTGCACATACCGGTTGCACACATTTGTTGCTTGGGAAGCGCGTGGAAGGGTGCAGCAAAGAGTGGCCACACAACATCATGCCTTAATGAAGCAACAATCGGTGTCGGATCTTCGTTCTGATAGCTCGCCCAGCCTGATTCTTGCATGTGACACACTGCGTGTTTGTGCATATGGCTCGAGCAAAGCTCAGGCACGAATGTCTTTGCTTAATTCCATTTGCGCTTCAAAGGTTGCTTCCTTACAAGTACGGTCAATTTGTGCTCTACCGCTTGGGTGACCGACTCATTTCACCGACAATGTCTCCTGCAGAAAGCAACTTGCCATCTGATTCCACACAATTTCCAACAGCTCTTTTTTTTCTCCACAAACTGGATGTGCCTTGCTGGTTTGCTGCTTCTCACGTTTTGTTTGTGTTTCACATGACGCTTTCGCTTGGCAGCCTGAAGCGAGGGGCAAGAAAATCCATCAACAAGGCATATCTCCAAGGTGAAAACGCAAGCCACCCAGCCGACTGAGATCTTGTGCTGCGTGTCGCATTGGCTTTGCCGGTGTAATGGGTTGTGATAAACGCGCAGCTCTTGAAAGTGTATGCGATGATACGTAAACATGCACAACTGCCCAGTCTGCTGTGCAAAGCCTGATATTTGGTGTATCCAGTATCTCTATCTCACTTTCAATAGCTGGCATGCAGCAAGAAAATCTGTGAAATTTTTGGTTGAACCACTTCTTTGCTTTTTCCTGGGAAAACCAAAAATAGTACTACATTTTCCGCCCTCTAGGTATATATGTATATATATATATATATATGTCGTTGACATGTTCATATTCTACGCGTAGATTGCGGTATCTGCAGATATTGGCCTTCACTGCTCACATTGAGTCGAGTGTTGCATCAGGGTTTATTTTGAGGCAGTGGGTTGAAGGATTCGGGAAGCTTGGCAGAAAGCGATGCATGGCCTTTGCCTTGCGTAGACGGCGCCTAAGACAACCTACCCGCGGACGAATTTGCTGCAGCGAGCCATCCGGCATGGAGGAAATCCAGTCCGCAGCACCTGAGAAACCCTGGAGTTTCCTCTGTAAATACCAACAAACAGTGGTTTCAACCATGGTTTCAAAGTGGTGCTGGATTTTGTTCATCCAGTAGTTGTAGGCGCAGACCTCTTCCATCGCCAGCCCCGCCGGGGCGCACTGGGTTCGAGGCGGAAAAAGAAACAAGTGGCCGGCAGGTTCTCGCGCCATGGGCTTGGCCAACGGCCGCCTGTTTCCACTGACGTCGGGGAATGCCAGTTGAAAAAGAAGCTCGTCTTATGGTGGGACTACAACCATTGTACTGCTAGAGAGTGGTGAATCAACTTCATGTTCGCCGGCTTGCCGCAAGGCTCGCCCCCTTAAGGCCGGCCAACAATTCATTCCCAGTGCTGCCTGAAAATCAGCAGTGCCCCGAGACAACATCTGAAGGCCGAACGAATAGTCACTGGGATCGAGTTGAACGCCACTTTGCCCAAGGACAACTGAGCCACAATCAAAACCTGGGTAGATGAAGGTTAGTAAGGGACAATCCCAACGACAAATAGCAGCGGATCTCCGCCTTCTTAATTCTTGAAGCATGGTTCTGGGCTTGGACCATTTTAAGACACCGGGTTTTTGATTGTGACTCAGATGGGGCGGGGGAAGACGCCAACACGCAGAACCCCTCTCAGGTATCACCCAGCCACTTCCATGCCTCGACCCCCAACCTCTTCTTTCGTATGCATGTAAAGCTCCATTTGAACCTATGGGCTGAAAACCCGCATGAAGTTCTGAGGAACTTGCAACAAACATTTGGGCATGTCGTTTGCTTTGTAGGTTGGAACCCCAAAATGCCAGAGTTTTGTTTTTTGCGTTTGGCTTTTCCCTTTAAAACCAACAAACAAAAGGAAAACCAACTCTAAACAGACGAGTCACCCATTGGCCTTTGTCGGCTTCCTTTGGAAATCCGAATTAGATCTTACGCCGCTAGGCAGACTGGTTCCGGCGCGAGATCCGGCGCATGCGCCAGGTGCGCGTTTTGTTGCCTGGGAACCGTCGAGCTGTTTTTGTTGGGCCCTGTTGCCCAAAGGGTGGAAAAGGGTCAAACGTCCGAAAGTGCTTTAAAGGGACTTGATCACTAACGCTGTAATCTCGGTTGGATGCTTTGAGTTTGAGCGGCGACTCAAAAGGCTTTGGTGCGATGCATGTTGGTTACAGTGATACCAGAACTTGATTATGAACAAAAGTGTCCTAGAAATTGATGTTCTAGAGCTTTTGTTTTGTCCACGTGTCCTAAAAGTGGTGCCAAGGGCCGCCTCTTGCCAAGGCACCAGACACCGGAGATTCCTCGTAGACTTCAGCCCGCGGGGAATGGGTAAATCACCTGAAAACATAGGGTGCCTCTATAGGCAATCTAGTTGGTTTGGTTTAGCATGGAGCCTTAGCCATTGGGAGGGTTAGTTTCGGCCTGATTGGCTCCATGGTACGCTTGACAGAAGTCTTCTGGGCACGAAAATCGACACTTTGGTGGGCATGAGTATATAGCCGTGGGTCAAAAATAGTTACCCCAAATGGATCCCTTGCAAGTAGAAACATGGACCAAAACCTGCGGTCCGATTCCCGGTGGCTTAGTTTTGATCCATACCCATATGAGGGCTGCTTCTCCACACCCAGCTCACCCTTGAAGTTGTTTCGAATGGAAGGTCATCGTCGAATAGCCTTCAAACTACCTCTTGAACCCAGTGGCTGGCTTTGATGAACCAAAAAGCAGCTGACTAGGCCATCTGAGGTTTTGGGGTGCTATTGAAGTAAATGTAGCCAGGATCACAGGGGTCAAATAGCAGTTATGCATACACTTCGAGAAAAAAAGCAACACAAAAACAAACCATCAACTTGTCCATGGTCAACTTGTTTCGTTGAATGGGTTACCCAGCCACTCGAGGTGTTCAGCCCGTAACCAACTAGCACGGGCCACGTGCGGGCCGAATGAGTCGAGATGAGGAGCTGGAGACCCGGGAGCATGCCTTCCACTCCGTTCGGGACAGGGACAAGGATCCCATGGAGTGTCTGGACGAATGGGAACGACCGGCCTGGGGGAGGGAGGGGGGGAGGGAGCACCATAAATAAAGCTTTGTTTGGGGTTGATTTTCCCCGCCCCCCCCCTCCCCATGACTTTTGGTTGGTGGGATGTTCGGCCAAGCATGCGGTTAGCCAGTTGGGGTCGAATGACAAGGTTGACCCCACTTGGGACTCACAAGCGGGTTATAACCTACTAACAACTTAACTTGGCCCGAAGACCCGAGGGAATCCCAAGGCAACAGTTGTTTGGGGTCCTAGTATTACCACTGACTATAGGCTAGATAGTCAAGCTCTTCTCCTGTTTTTTGCATGACGAAAGGAAGCAAAGGTAGCCATGCCCAGCAGTTTTATCAGGAATCTGAGAGTGAGCACCCAGCGATTGTGGGTGTTGGTTCCAAGGAGGAGCAACCATTCAGGT